TTCCACCAAAAAAAAGAAAGAAAGAAAGAAAGAAAGAAAGAAAGAAAGAAAGAAAGAAAGAAAGAAAGAAAGAAAGAAAGAAAAGAAAAGAAAAGAAAAATGGAGATATAGACAGGACATTGAGGGTATACAACTCATACATTGGATTAAAAATAACTTAAGACTTTTCCACCAAAACTGGCTATCACCATAATCACAGTAACATCTGTAAATAAATCCAGTAGGCATTTTTCATCCCTAATCTTAATCTGTCTACAGTTTTTAAAAATCGTATTTAGTTTTTGTTCCTTAAAACATTTGGTCTCCATAACACCATATTGTTCTGATTTTATAGTTACTGTCTATAATATGTCTGTTCCTTCTTCATCCTTTGAGATTTCTTGTTCCTCCACTAGCTCCTCTTTGTTGAAGTTGATCATAGCCCTCTTCGCACACCGTACCATCCCTCAAACTTTATATGCCAGTCATACATAGGATCCATATCTGTAGCTTCAGGTCTTGATTGTACTCATCATGATAGGAAGCTATGATGAGGTACTAGCTTTTCGCCTATCAAAAACCAAAAGCTTTGAAAATATGTAGTGCTAATAAAGATGTGAAGAAATGTACACTTTTCTGAATTGCTGGTAGGTGATATCTGTGAAACAACTAAGTAATATCTCTCAAATGTACAGTATATGCAAGATAAGAGCAAGAGTCAAAGGATATTGTAAAATATTTCTATTTGTGTTTAAGTGGTACTTGTGCATCTGTGTGCACACACAGATAATATTTCTGGGAGATACATAACAAGCAAGTAACTGCCTATCTCTGGAGAGGAACTAGAAATGGGGGTTAGGAGGCAGCACGAGGACCAAAGTGAGAGGGAAAGTTACCTGACTAACAAAAAATAATTTTATAGTATATAACTTTAAAGGCATTATGATGCTGGATATATTTTCAGGTGGGTGGTCACAAATAAGTTTATTTTGTCTTAAAAAGTAAAATTAGTGTTTCGATAAACATTTTTTATATCCCAAGTCCACATATAAATGTCATAATTGACTTCCCACTCTCACCCTAACCACAGAAGAACCACATCTTCATGATTGGAAGCATTTACACTTTTCAGTGGGCCATTTCTGCAAGTCAGGGGCTCTCTGAACATATTTAAATAGCTATATTGTCTGATTCTATTTCCATGAAGTCCTGTAAGAACAAATATTTTCTCAGTTGATTCTTTCAAGGCATCTTAGAAAAAGATGGAGAGACAAACATAAAATGTAGAGTTAAGGGCTTTTTTTCATGATTTATAAAATATATGTATATCCCTCACTTAAAGACTTTTCCTGTGTAATTTTGTGCCATAACCTACAAAATGGATGCTCCTGCTTGATGTAGTTTTAAGTAATGTCCAATGAATGATTTAACAAGTTACTTTTCTACTGTGATTAAATATTTTTTCTTCTTTTGAGAGCATGAGAAAAGAAAAACAATACAAATTTAATCAGCTTACAAAATAATATGATCTTGATATCTGCAGAAGGCACCAATAAAGAGACCATTCTCTTCTTCAATATGAAGCTATTTTGATAAAGATTGAAACATAGTAAAACAGGGCTGGGGAGATGGCTCAGTAGAATAAGCGCTTCCCTGGCAAGCGCATGGGCCTGTGTTCAGTCCCCAGGTCCACAAAAAAAAAAAAAAAGAAAAAGAAAAAAGAAAGAAAGGAAGGAAGAAACATAGTAAAACAACTGCCACTGAAGATAGCCAGCGGCTGAGCAGATACCAGCATGTCCACCCGCATTTTGTTTTGTTTTGTTTTAGGTTTCCATGGTTTCTCTTCCTTAGTTTGTCAAACAATTAAACAAAGAATTTAAGAGGAGAAGTTCCTAGATACAGTCTTTTTATATGCAAAAATACTAAGTATTTCCAGTTCTCATTTTATGGGGATGTCCAAATATACCAGTACTTTACAAAATACTTTTAAGGTTCTTGTACAGAAGCCACTGTAACAGCAGGGCACTAAGTATTTGATGCAGGCCTTTATATAAAAGATGGTGTGTAGTACAAGCATAAATGACTGCTAGACTGATATCATGTCACAGAGTAGCACTGTGCAGCCTCTTGAGTATAAAAGAATATTTCTACATTTAGTTCCAGCAAACAGTATTGTGCTATTCTGAAATCCATAGCACAGAAATTATAAGACATCCGCTCAGAAACAGAAAGCAAATCACTATTCAGCATTTCCTGCTCTGTTTCCTGCCAATTTCAGATAATTAAAACTTTTTAAAAATCCTTTATGCCATTCTGCCTTAATTCTGCTTCCTCGCCTGAAAGAGAGATTTAGAAATTAAAACTATATAATAATAACAAATCTTTGCCCTTTTTTTCTTATCTCTCCTTCTCTTCACTAATACAGACCTCAGGATATCATTGTGTTTGTAATTGGAGGAGCCACCTATGAGGAGGCCCTGACAGTTTATAACCTGAACCGGTCTACTCCTGGAGTGAGGATTGTCCTGGGAGGAACCACTGTGCACAACACAAAAAGGTAAAGAAAAGCTTTCAATCCTGTAACTCTCTCCCCTTTCCCAGAGAGTAAAGCTTATATTCGCGTCTACTGTCAGTTGGGAAGATTGGTCAGTAATGATCAAACTACTGTACACCAAAATGCTCTGATATTTGTGTCATCAGTTCATAAAATAATTTAGTATTTATGAGATGAATGGACTATAGTCCATTGAGTTCATAAGTCACTTTATCAGGTCAGAGGCCTGAGAGATAAAAACAATCCTGAACTGTTAACAGTTTATATCTGCTGTGTTCAAAGAAGGAGAAATCTAATAGCCACAGCTTGGCACTTTAAAAGTAGCTAAACATAATGGTATTGAATTTTGTGAGTTTATCTAGTTTGTTATTTTAAAATATTTAATGAAAATAAGAAAGTACCTAGAGAGACAAGGGAAGACTTTGGGTTCTTAGAGTGGCTAAGAAAAATGAACAAATGTTTCAGGAAGAAGACAGTGTATCAGCTGAGCCTTGGATAGAAAACAGGCATATGGAGAGAGAACATATTCTAGATAGAGCTAACCACATGTACAATCACAAGTTATGAACAAGTTATAAAAGCCTCAAACAACATATATATACAAAGAATAGCAAGTAGTCAACTGCCTGGAATGTGTGGAACAAAGTGAAAAAGTTGATTGCATGCTGTAATTATGGAAGGCCTTGGATACCAGGCTGAGGAGTTTCTACTTATGTAGAAAAATGGAGAATTGTTCAAGGTTTTTAAGCAATGAAATTGTAAGAGGGTAACAGTTCTTTAGGAAGAGAAATTTGTCAGGAAAGATTAGAGGGAAAAAAAGGCTAGAACCATAACAAGAAGTTTAAATTTAATGAAGGGGACCCTGAGAGATTCATGCTGACCCTGTATGCATGGGTTACTGGGAGTATTAAAAGTATTTATGTACTTTTTGTTGTATATTACTGTCTGAATTATTAACATAATTTTCTCTTTTATTATCAAGGTATTTTGCACTTATTCTAACGTTTTTTAGTTCAGAAAATGAATAGGGAACAGATTGAACCATCATTGTATGTTGTTGTTTCCAGGCTTCTCTTCTAAGGTGTGTAGACGTTTATGTGAGCCGGTGGCAGAGGGGATCTTGTACATGCCCTTTGCAGTCTGATATGAATTCTTGTGGTGCTAAATATTCAACCATTTATTCATTCAACAACTGTTTCAAGGGTAGGGCCTCCTAGCCTTGAGTTCTAGCTTTTTCTCCTTTATGAACTCAGGCCAAGTACTTACCCTCTCTGTCAGTGTTCTGGAGCTCTCTAGCCACTTGATATTTATGTCTGTGTATGAATGAACAGTTCATGTTCTTTGCTCATTTCACAGTTGGGGTCTGCCTTTCATTTTCCCTAATAATATTTTTAGATCTCTATGTGCAATTAATAGTATTTGCATTCATCTCATATTTCACAGTATTTTTTCTCTTTGATGTTTATGTTTTATATTATCACAGTGTATTGCAGTATAAACACTTTGTCATTGTTTTAATTGTATATAGTCAAAGCTACCAGTGATTTCCACCATGATGTTAGGCATGAAAAGTTCTTTTCCAATCAAGGTAATATACATACTGACATACAGAGTCCAGATGTGGTAGTGCATGCCTGTAATCTCAGCTCTTGGGAGGCTGTAAGCAGGCGGATCACCATGAGTCCAAATCTAGTAGTGAAACCCTGAACACCCTGTAGCCCCTTCCCTAAAATACAAAAAAAAATTTAATTAATTAATTAATATCTTTATAAATCTATCAGAACTGAGAGTGGGTGTGGTGCTGCGTGCCTATAACGCCAGCGCTTGGGAGGCTGAAAACAGGAGGGTCACTATAAGTCTGATCTGTGTAGTGAGACCCTGTAGGTCCTGTACTAAATACATTAAAAGTAATAATAATAAATACATCTCTTAGAACTTGACTTTCACCTAAACTGTGAAGTAGAGTTTTATTTTATAACTTTTACAGAAATATTACATTAAGAGGTTTTTACTTCCTGACACCAAACATCTGGTGTCTTTTCTCATACCACTTCATTTCTCCAGATACCAAGTTCACATCAAACAATTGAGTTCAATTTTTTTTTTTTTTTTTTTTGTGATTGGCTCAGCCTGCCCTGGGAGTGGGGTTGGCGTGGCATGTGGTGCCAGGGATTGAACCGAAGTCCCTGCACTTTGCCTAAGCTTGCTTAAGCAAGTGCTTTAGACCACTGAGCTATCTTGCTAGCCCCTCAATTCTAATATCATATAGTTAGCATAAGATCTTGCAAATTAAAGACACTGAATACCCCAAGACCGTCCCCACTTCAGACACCAATAACAAGTACAAGACTCCTACTACTTCTGATTGACCAGCTTGAATCTGAGATTCTCATGGCCCCTTCTCCAGGTTTAGTAATTTGTTAGAGCAGCTTACAGAACTTACGAAAACACTTTCTTTACATTTATCCTCTTTTTTTTTTTTTTTTATGGATGAAAATGTTCTCAATTTGACTTTTATTACCCCATCGCGGTATGCAGGGCGTGTAGACAGAAGCTTGGCATCCACTAACTATATGAAAAGATAAACATTAACAATTCATGTGATTCAAAATGGGCAAAAGCAAAAGACTAGCTTCCTTTCAAGAAGTTTCAGACCTATGAAAAGGACAACAATACTAATAAAAAAAATTGTATTT